GCTTGTGTCTTAGATTAAAAATAAATTAAAAAAAAGCGGTAGTCTTGATTCAACTCGGTCTTCAGATAGACTCTATCCTCGCCGTCTTTGTCGTTCTGCTGCTAATTTTCTTTCTCCTTTTTTTTTCTTTCGGAAGGTGTTTCCCTTTCGAGCCACTCTTATTTTAAACGGATGAATTTTTTAACATGAAAATATATTAAGCGAAAAAAAAGGGATTCACACAATGCCAAGAGAAATCAATAAATCATACATACCAGAGAGCGTTTAAAAATATGAATATAAATCTTTCAAAGTTCAATTTAAACTTAACATTGATAAATAGTTTTTTTTTTTAAATAAAATAGTTTAAAATAAATTCTCCACTTATGAGTCGTATCAATTTTGCACTGTCTGATAACCGAAGGTTTCATACGAAATGCTTAAGTATATATATAATTACTGTTCACCTTGCTGTCAAAAAGGAAGGCTATTTTCAACAGACTGTGATGAAAACTCTTTTTTAATGTATGTATCTATGAGAGAATATGCATTATTAATCTGCTAAAATATTTTCTACGTTTCCTGGTCTACGGCAGTCATTCTTTTCTTTCTATGTGCCGTGTCCTTTTAGGACGTGGGCGATCATGGCTCTCCACCTCCCTCTATCCCTTGCATCTCTCAGTTCTTTCCCTCTGCCACCTCACCCAGACCACGTTCTGTCAACCACTTGCTTAACCCCGCTAGGCGTTGTTTTCCCTTGTCTCTCTTTCCCTATATTCGACCCGTGAGTATCAGTTTCTCCAGGTCATCTTTCCTCATTATGTGTCCCAGAAACTTCAGTTACCTCTTCTTGATGTTAAGTATAAGCCTCCTCCTTGTTTGCATCCTCTCTAAGGCCTCATCGTTGCTCACACATTCGGTTCATGATATCCTTAGCATCCTTCTGTAGAACCAGATCTCCGTCGCTTCTTCTTCATCTTTGAGGAAATCGTCCAATATTCGCTGCCGTAAAAAAAAAAAAAGATGTCACGTAACAGATCAATATTCTTTTGTTTGTTACCAAAGAAATCCTCCTGTTTCGCAGAATTCTGCTCAGCTATTGGAATGTGTCCTTGACCATTCCAGTACATCTACGGATATCAGCCTCGAACTTAACGTCCTCTGTCAAGACGCTTCCCAGATATTTAAACTTCTGCGTCTGCTTGATTCTCGTGTTCCCGACCTGCAAATTTCATTTCGGGCTCTTCCTCTTACTGATGACTATGCATTCTGTTTTCTTGTAGTTTATGCTTAGTCTTTCTTCTCCCTCTCTTCTGCTAACTTCTGTAGGAGATTTTGTAATTTCTTTTCTGTATCTACTATCAGTACGGTGTCATCTGCGTACCTTATGTTGTTAAGGTTGCTGCTACCAATGCTAAATCCCGGTAGGATTTCCAATTCTATCAGAATTGCTTCGCTGTATAGGTTGAACAGATCAGGTGAGAAGGCGCATCCTTACGCCTCTTTCTATCTTTGTATATTCAATGAACTCATTCCCTATGTGTATGCATGCTGTTTGCTGCCAGTATAGGTTCTTGAGTATTCTGATATACCTCCCTTATATCAAGGTTGCTGAGCAGTTCCATCAGATCCTTTTGGGGTACTTTGTCAAAGGCCTTTGCGTAGTCTATGAAACATAGGTACACGTCTTTCTGCATCTGTATCGCTCTTTCTGGTCTCAATGTCGCATTTATCGTCCTCTGTCAGTACGCTTCCCAGATATTTAAGCTTCAGGGTCTGCTTGATTCTAGGGTCCCCGACCTGCAAATCGGATTTCGGGTTCATCCTTTTTCTGATGACTATGCATGGTCCATAACATTTTCTCTTATATGATACAACAGGCATACACATTTCAGACTATTATAATTGCTATAGCATTTCAGATGCAGAAGGATATGTAACCCTTTTATAGAAGTGGAAGCTGGACAGATGAAGAAGAGATTTGAAGCAACAGAAATGTGAGTAAACAGAAGGATGTCAGAGATACCATGGGCCGAACATGTGAGCAAAACCGAAATATTAGAAAATATGGAAACAAAAAGTAACAGAAGCAAGAGACAGTTGAAATTTCCAGGTCATGTGGAAATGGGGCTTGGAATACTTGATATTCCATGACAGATTGAAGGATCACGGGGGAAGAAGGTCTATAAAGAGACAGAGAACATAGAAGAAAGATAACTGCTATGCGATTTTATACTCTTTTTTTAAAAATCCATTATAAAGAGTGTTCCAATAACTTGGACTGATTTTAAATGTGAATTAAGTTTAAGCGTCTAATGATTTTTTTTTCTTTTTCCTTTCAGATTTAACAACTTAAATATTTGGCAATTTCAGCCCTGGAAAGATTAACAATAAAACATCTAAGCTACGACTAGAAAATAACTATAAATAATTCACTATATGGTTTTGATCTTGTGAGAACAAAAAAGACATATTTAAAACGCTACTTGGTTTCAATTAGAAAATGAAGTCAAAAAAGAAAAAATACAAGTCTTTAACGTTTGTTTCAGTGACATGGAAAAAATTGTGAATTTCAAATCTTTTCATTTGTACCCACTTCTTAAAATAACGACAAGCATTCTTATTTATGACTGTTATTGCAATATTTTGTTAAAGCTGTTTATTTCAAATAGTTAAAGTTGTGATAGAGAAATTTCTACAGATATTTTATTGCCGTCGAACTTACCATGAATATATTTAGCGTAGAATTACGATTTACCAGAAATATAAGATAAGAAAACCGCGAAATTTTCAAACGGTTAAATCTAGTAAAAGATTATTTTGTATAATGAAAGAACGTATTTAGAGAAAACGTATAAAGAAAAATTATATAAACACGTTTTATCTTCTCTAAATAAAGGGTGTTCCTATAACTTGGACAGATTTTAAATTTGAATTAAGTTTAAGCGTCTAATGATTATTTTTCTTTCCGATCTGGCGGGCATTTTGGCAATATAATAGCATACAGTAAAATTATTTCTTCATATATAAATGTTAAATAAATTTAATTAAGATTCTTACCCGTAGGTCCTTAAAGATCTGTTCTAAAACCAAACTGGATGATAGGATAAGGTTTACTATTACTACTCTCTGCAAAAATGTCTAGCCTTTTGGACATTGTCCAATCCGTAATTAAAAATGAAATTTCGTAATTTAATAATTTCAAACCGTCCTCAGTACAGAGATACGCGTGTACCTACGTCTTCCTAGCTTAAAGATCAACAATCAAAGAACATGTTAAAGTTATCGAAGCCTATTACGTAAACGGACGTTCAAATTGAAATGAGAAGTTCATCATCTCTCGAAATAGCGAAGTCTATTGTCCACCACGATTGTGCGACTTGGCACCTTTAGATTTCTTCGTTTAGGGTCATCTCAAAAGTAAAGTCTATACCAACAAGCCAACAACAATTCAACAGCTGAAGGATGAGATAATAAGGCACATTACTGAGATCGAGCAGCATCTATGCAGACACGTCATCAAACATTTTGACCATCGTGTAGAGCTGTGCTGCCGAAGCCTTGGCGGAAATTTGGGCGATATTATTTTTCACACATAATTGCTATGTCTTAAATAACATGATCCAATAAAGAAATAAAGAAATTGTCAACAACAACACTGATTTATTTACTGCTGAATTTGATCCGTCTTAATGAAACACCCTTTATTATTGAAGCAATTGTAAACATTCTTAATTTTGTCCTATCTCATTAGGGCGTGACACGAAGGATACAAATACACAGCGGTAAGTATTATATAGTGATGTGAGAAATAAAATTTAATTGGAATTAACTCTCTAAAAAATAATAGTAACACTTGCTTACAAAGTGACATGCTGTTCTTTTAAATGTATACTCTGTGACACGAAATATATAAATAGATGAATACACGTGTCTATATCTCTTAGATGAGGTATTATTATTTACATCATTTACATTCTTCGGACTGTTATCCCTATTCATTGAAATAATCACAACGTTTTGGCCGTTCAGGTGCTTGGAATTTCGGACCGAATTCTTTATTTCGTCCACCGGGGTAGATTGTCCTAGTTCCACGTGCCAAGGCTCATTCAGACATCTCAGTTATTTCCCTTTAATTTAAGTTCGGTTTATAAGTCCCATGCGCAGATGTCCTCAAGCACACTTGGCCCAGTGGATAAAGACGATGATTAGATCCAGTGACTAGACCCAAAGCGTTGTGAGTTCAATACCAGTCCACAGTACTTGGAGAGTGGAGGTAAAGGTAAATAACTGAGACATCCGGAAGCGGCATGTCACGTGGAGATAGAACAATCTACGCTGCTGGACGAAGTAATGGGCTTGGTTCGAAATTCTAATCACCTGAAGATGGCCGGAGCGTACAACGCCCAAAACGTTGTGAATATGGCAATGAAGAGGAGGCTAACAGTCCGAATAATGTAGATGAGTACACAACGAATAAACAAGATGAATTATTATTATTATTATTATTATTATTAATATGATTGATGCTGAAATATCTTCGAAGCAGCCAAGAGGCCCGGCCAATTAAAATTCTGAAGTTTTAATATTTGATCAGAGTCTAGAATGTTTTGGCCCTTCTGTTGATGTTTTTGTTTGTTTTGCTGCCAAAATTTAATTAATTTAGTCCTTACAATTTGCTTTGTTCGTTTGTTTGTTTTGATAAAATCCAAACTTATCAATTATTTTTTGTTTGTATTGTCGATCATTCCATTTTTATCGAATTATGTATTGCAGCTTATTTTGCTCAACGGACTTCGGTTTAAGGTCGTCTTCAGGTAGGTTAACTCTGTAATGAATTGAGACAATTCATTTGTCAGTCTTATTTATCTAATAAAAGTTTTCAATGACTGCAGGGATTGTGCACATTAGCTGGCTAGATAGGGAGGGGGAAAAACAATGGTAATGAAATATATAAAGAGACGGAGAATGAAATAAAAGACCGACAGAGAGAGTAAAAAGGGGGAAAAAGAAATAATAAACTAGATAATGGACGAGAGACAGAAAGTGAGAGAGGGGACGGGTGTCAGTGAGAGAAATAAAGATTCAAATGGAGAAAGAGTGATAACGAAATAAATAGACGGTCGTAGACAGAGAGGGAGTGAAAGAGAGAAAGAAGGAAAGAAAGAAAGAAGGAAAGAAAGAAAGAATAAAAATAGGCGTACTGATTTAGAGAGAATAACTAAAATGAAGAATAAAGATATTGACGGTGACAGTGAGAGAGAGTGAGAGAGAGAGAGAGAGAGAGAGGGAGAGAGAGAGGGGGGAATAAGCGAAAAATAAGCGAAAAAAATTAATAAATAGGGAGCGTAAAAGAAAGAGAGGTAGAGAAATAAAGTGACGGGAGGAATGATAGTTAAGAAGAACCATGATGAGATAGATAGATAGATAGATAGATAGATAGATAGATAGATAGATAGATATGAACTAGCTTTTATAGATATATAGATAGAAAGATAGATAGATAGATAGATATGAACTGGACTAGCTTTTATAGATAGATAGATAGATAGATAGATAGATAGATAGATAGATAGATAGATAGATATGATATGAACTAGCTTTTACAGATAGATAGAATCATGAGAGAGATATGAACAAACATAGATAGATAGATAGATAGATAGATAGATAGATATGAACTAGCTTTTATAGATAGATAGATAGATAGATAGATAGATAGATAGATAGATAGATAGATAGAATCATGAGAAGTTTATGAACCGACACAGATATCCAGCTTGCTAGCTAGCTAGATAGAAGCCTGAAAGATTTATGAACAGACATAGATAGATAGATAGATAGATAGATAGATAGATAGATAGATAGATAGATATGAACTAGCTTTTTACTAGATTTATAGATAGATAGATAGATAGATAGATAGATAGATAGATAGATAGAATCATGAGAAGTTTATGAACAGACACAGATATCCAGCTTGCTAGCTAGCTAGATAGAAGCCTGAAAGATTTATGAACAGACATAGATAGATAGATAGATAGATAGATAGATAGATAGATAGATAGATATATGAATTGTCTTGTATAGATAGACAGATAGATACATAGATACGTGGGTAGTGAAGAAAGGAGAGTAAGGAGAGAGCGTGTGTATACGTGTGCGAAAGATAGAGATGACGAAATTATAACAAGCGTTCAAATTTACATAATGTTCATGGACAGAGATCAAGGAGAAAAGTGCTTTTCAAAAATTTCAGGCGTCTAGAGATAAACAACTCTGATCTACCTAAGCCGAAATACGAAACGGGCTACAACGTGCTGGTGCATTTACATAGACGTCGATATCATAATATGCAACTTATATACATATATTTTCAAAAACACGCTATCCTTTATCATTCTTGATGATGGAAGATTAAATCGATATCCATAAAAAAAATAAATCTCATTAAAAGCTACAAAAGCAGGAAATTGTGGAGAGCTATAATCGCCCAAAAATTGAAAATCTATAAATACCCATACATGTATATTTTAAAAATAAAAATTCCAAGTGGAAGAATCCAGGTAGAACTCAATGTCCATGACAGAGTAAGGATATAAAAAAGGCTTAAACACTAATATTTACGATTCCAATGGAATAAATTATGACCATGAAATATTAGTGTTTAAGCCTTTTATTATATATATATATATATATATATATATATATATATATATATATAAAAAATTAATTAACCCCATATACATATAAGACGCAATATATATAAAAATTTTAGACGGAACACGAAACCCCAATCTGAAACAAAGCATCCACCCCTGTTTAAAAAAAAGAAAAACAGGGGGTAACCGCACAATAGGCAACCAAACGAACGTTTGACAATGAATACTACATAATACTCGTTGTAGTTGAGACTTTCTAATCGCAGATACCAATATAGTACGCCGTTGGACAGTACTGGTCTCAGACTTCATTAGAATATCACTAGTACTAATAGTACTTGCTCGATAATACTCCCTTGAATAATATGGTGAATACAGTAGAGAATGGCGGCCCGAATAGCAATAGAGGATGTTACGGTTTTTTGGGTATATTATGGAATCTTCCTTCAAAATGTTAGTAAAATCGATAAATACTTTAATTCCAAAAATTATATATATTTTTTTTTATTTTTTTATTTTTTTTTTTAAAGTTAATATTAATATGTAACAAATACTTTATTATTCCAAATTTTTATTTTTTCAAAATAAGGGGGGTGTTACGGTTTTTTGTGTATATTATATATAACTAGTGAGTGAGTCAAAATGACTTATTTCCATTTATAGTCTACCAATAGAAGGTTGACCAATCAGAAGCCGCACAACACTGTATCCGTCGTGTATAAAGGCGGCCATCTTTGTTTTACCTACCGGAATGACCAGAGGCAACTTGTCCGGCGAACATGACAGACGGAAGAACTACGCTCTCCTACTTTGCTGCGGTATCCACTGCGAACCTGCACTACGCTTTCCTACTGTCTCCGAAATATTCACTGCCAACCTCTGGATTCTATACTCGAAGACGACCGTCATGAAAATGTCTAACAGTGGAAAAACTAGAAATGAGGATTGTATAGTATAAAAGATAAACTAGAAATTACGGTCAATTAGACACACGCTACCTCCCATATATGCTTTTCTTCTATTGTCACGTGGTCTACTTAATTCAATAATGGTATTGCCTGTGTTTGCACACTAGCGATCTATGTTCAAACTCTAGTGCCGGCAACGATACTTTATTCCTATAAAACATTATCTAATCCTATTAAGGAAAAATAAATAAATAAGTAGTAATTAAAATTTCAGAGTTTAATCTGAGACGTTAGGAATATAGAGTTGAAGTAGACTTTAGAAGGAACAGGAAACCCAATCCAAAGCTGAGAACAAGGGATAAACCGCTACTCCTGTTTAAAAGACCATGGATTAGTGTGATTCGGACGATAGGCGATCGTATCTACTTATTTATATTATATGTGTGTGTACAATATGTGTGCATCGGCAAATCTATAACCTAATATGGAAAAAAAGACTTGATTTATCACTAGAGTTATTTTTTCAATAGACTATCATGCATTGAGATTACCGTAGCTTCAGGTATAGATTCAAATAAAAGAAGGGACATTGTTTCGCCAAACAGATTATTCAACGCATGGGTCGATGCTCGATAAATTTTGTTATGTAACTTTTTATATAAAAAGGAGCAAAACATCGGTTGCATATATCTTTATGTCTCTAAACCCCTCCTATCACTCTCTTTGTCTCCGTCTGCACACATCACACACATACAAACACACACACATTATTTTATATATCATTTGTTTTATTATCCAAAATATATATCTGTCCGAAATTGCACTAAATTTTGACAAATGAAAAGCGAGTTTTCGTAGGTTGACTTACCTTTTGTCAAACATTTGTTCACTTCGTACTTATATAAATCAACACATCAGAAACATCCAAAATGATACAAGGGCAAATAAAGACTTAATTAAATTATTTTATTGTAATTAGATGCATCGTAATTATAAACAAGACGAAAAGGCCATTAGAATGATAATCCAACGTTATATAACAATTATTGTTCCACACAAATACCTTTGATATATGATTTATTTAGAAAACAAATCAAAAAGACTAATTTAATTCTTCAAAAATCTCCAGTACGTAAAAAAATGTTTTTTTTTAATAAATTCTTATGTCCTGTGGGGATTGTATCTTCAACACTAAAAATCATTAAACAGCATAATAGTTTAGATTGGTCACTTATCAACTGCACTGACTCGTAAGTTGACTTGGCATTTATGAAAATTTAGTGCATTTCGATTCGTGCACGAGTTGCACTCTATTATCTCACTCTCTCTCTCTCTTTTATATATATATATATATATATATATATATATATATATATATCCAGTGTTCTTATTAATTATTTTTATTTCTAAAAAACAGTGCTCAATACAATTCCGCAGAGCATAAAAACATATTGTCATTGAAAAAAAAAAAACAGACGACGTGCGAAAAACGGTTGGTATGATTTGTTGGTTAGGTACCCTACCTTAATTTATTCTCTTTTAGAAAGTAACTCATATTTTGATACAATAGTTGGCAGTGAAAACGAATACCCTTTGAGCCCTTTTAAAATGATTTAATTTCCTCGCATCCTTAGAAATTATAATTAAGAATGTATGTCCTTATAAAACTCAGTAAAGTTCAAAATAAGTTATTCCAATATTTGCTTGAAAATGAAATACTACTCGGGATTTTAGTTTAATTCTATAATTAAATTAGAAGTTTTTAGTTTCTGTTTTTCAAACATGGTAATTCCTGTGTAGGGATGAAGCTATATTTTTTAAATTAGTAAATAAGCAAAAAAAAAGGGTATAAAAAATAAAATTTTAGTGAGAGTTTATGTGTGGGAGTGGGAAACAAATGTAGGAAATCTCTAGAGAGAGTTGTAACAGAAGAAAGGATACTTGTTTCCCAATCCTACATATACATTCCTACTAAAATTTTGTTTTTTATACGCGGAGTTATATTTTCCGATTTCTTTTTGAATTTATAGGTCTGGTGAATTGGATCGTGATTACGATTCCAATGTAATAAATTATAACCAAGGAATATTAGTGTTTGAGCCTTTTTTATTATATTCTTACTCTATCCTGAACATTGAGTTCTACCTGGATTCTATCCTCTTTGTAATTTATTTATATACATACACACATACATATATATATATATATATATATATATATATATATATATATATATTCTATCTATATATATATATATATATATATATATATATATATATATATATATATGTGTGTGTGTGTGTACACGCACGTGTGGGCGTGTGTATGTGCGTTCATATCACGCATATACACAGCACAATAAATCACGTGGGATACATGCAAGAACTTACGACACAGATAATATATCAGATAAATTGTTAAAAAACGATTACAAATATTAGAAGCATTAAGCATTAAAGTTAAACAAATGAACATCAATAGCACCTAACCAAATTTAGTAGGAAAAATTTTAAATATCTCAAATAAGTTATCAAATATCTCAGGTAAGTTGGCTGTACCGAATGGAAAAATTAAAGATGTAGGAACGTTGAAATTCAATAAACTTCAGCTTTCCCACACTCGGTACACAACGATAACCAACATGCATGTTTTTATATCACCTCTACTACACACACACACACACACATATATATATATATATATATATATATATATATATAGTATTTAAGCTGATGAAGTCCTTCTAGAAGACGAAACGTTTCGCCCGTTGTACGCCCCGGCCTTCTTCAAGGACGCATGGCACAGTGTATAAAGGCGTTGGTTCGATCCAGTGACAGCACCCAAAGAGTGTGAGTTCAATACCCGGTTATGGCAGTGGAGAACTTTCAGAGGGAAAATTAACAGGAGATAACTGATAACTGACATCCATTAAACATAAATAAATGGTTCAGTTCGACATTCCAACCGCCTGAAGAAGGCCGGAGCGTACAACGACCGAAGCGTTGTAATAGATATGTCGACAAAGATGAGGACAATAGTCCGAATAATGTAAATAGTATATATATATATATATATATATATATATATATATATATATATATATATAAAGTCATTTTAGTGGATACTGTATTTGAGCAGACGTACTTTTTTTTCATCTATTAAACAGTATATCTACCGGTCTGAACATATATTTCAGTAAATATGACAGAGAATTAAAATTTAATTTATTTCTTAATTAATTAATCTTTATTTAATTTACCTACCGTTCTTATGTTTTTTCGTTTTGTAGAAGAGAGTACAAGGTCTTCCATAATGTTCATTGTCCAAAGTGCTTTCGATCAATTCTTTAGCTATTTTTGGAAGTTTTTTTTGTTTGATATTGTTAGTTTTTATTCATGTTTTGACGGCTTAATTATATTTTATTTTTGTTTTGTTTGTTTCCTTGTCTGGTGTGTTGACCAATACCAAGACCAATAATATTGCAGATTCTTCTGTTAGGTCAATGACAAATGTTTCCTTGTAGTGAAACGTCTAATATTACCATTACCTTCCCTAGCCCAATGCGTGTGCAAATTTAGATGTCGGATTTTTCCTAGATATTTTTTTTATTATTATTTTTTTATTATTATTTTTTAATTTACTTTTTCTCATTCAGTTGTCTAATATTGATATATTGATCAAATTACAAATATTAGAAAGGCCTGTAAAATTTTCATGGTTTTCCTAATGAGTTAGCTCATGAGCAATAAAATATCCATC